ATTAAACACAATTAGTGTAGTTATGGAAAGGGTCCACTAAGGCCTTTATTTTGTTATTGTGTGCACTTCTGAATACGCTGTTTGGTACTAAAGACGCTGTAGGCTGTGTAACTGTCATTATTTCATCTTCATTAATTATTTAACCGAGTTTACACCTCTTAGATCCTGCTGATACAGTAGGCAGGAAATCGCTCTCTTTGCATTTGTCTCAGTAATTTCCTATAAACTTGTGTGTGTGTGTGTGTGTGTGTTTGTGCTGCGATTTCAAGACAGTAACTGAATTTGGTTAGCCCATATGGGATATTGGAATTTTTTTTCTTTCAGCACATGGGAACTGACAATCAACTTCTTTTATGGGTGTTATTATCAGAAACGTACCAAATAGTGACACTATATGATTCGATTGCCCTTTGTCTACTGGAATGTGCACCACATAAAATTGGAAGTTCATTCTCATAATACCAACACTTATTCTTATATTGTGCGTCCAAGAATGGAATTTTGGTTCGTAGGTAGAACATATGCTTCAACAGTGCTTCGAGATGCTAATGGCAATGCAGTTATTTATTTATTTCAGATAGCAACTGCGGAAAATGCATTATAAGACATCGCATTAAATACAATTCTCACTGAGAAGAATGAAGCCCCCTAAAAGTTTAAAGACAGCACTGAAAAGCAAAACCCATTTAAAGCACACGTAATTACAGAAGTGCACTTCTTGGCATAATTAATTAAGTTACAACTGGGTTTGAAAATAAATGGTTAAAATGTTGACGAATCCTAAGGTCATTTAGTATTCACCTTCTACTATTCATGTGAGGTGAAGGGATAGCAGAATGAAGTAGTATTGGCGAAAAATTCAAATTCTGTGGAGCATTTTGATTGGAAGATGTGAATTCCATCGGTGACTTCAGACTTCATGGACCAATACTTCACCCACGGAACCACATAAGAGATCATTTTTAAAATGCTTAAATATCGTATCCATTTATCTCTCTAAATCGCCTTGTACTATATTGACAAACGTTTTATACTTCGTGATTAGGCCACCTTAAATATAATTTAATTCTTTTGTGAGCTGCAATATAAGGTTAAATTTGAGTTCTTACCTTGCCAACATCAACGAATTGGTCGTAGAGGTTGTAACTCAAAAGAGGTTCAGGTAGCTACAAAGCAAACGTTTAAATTGTTATCAAAATGGAAGTATTCCCCATTTCAGTAGCTATTATTTTATAGGAGAATACTTTGTAAAGCTAAGAAATGGTATTTAAAATAGCATGCAGTCCTTCAATGGAAATAGATCCAATATTGTTTAGAATAAAATAAGAAAGAAATTAATAAATATTAAATGTTTCGCTACACATCATCCCATTGAAATCTCATTTAACAGTTGAGGAGAGAAAAGCAAGCAGCAATTCTTCGATGGAATGCTTTGAAATTCCATATATGCAAACTTGTGTGTGTGTATGTGTGAGACTGAACATCTTAAATTTCAAAAGAAGCTCATAATGTGATCAAGAGGATGGAGGGGATGAAGCAATTAAGTAGGAGTAAATTTCTGAAAGTACAAGTTCAATAAAAGATCTCAGTAATATTCCTTAAGTGGATAGAACTTTGATAATTTTACTTTACTTGAGGCTTTAGTCCATAAAAGCACATCGTTTTACATTAACAATAATCAATCAAATGCCCCTATATAAACTTTCAGCTTAGCTAATGGACATTAAGGGTTTGCTCAGTCCAGAACCGTTCTCCACTAGATTCTCGATTGAATAATTTTGTCACTTGGTAACGGTATTGCTACTACACAATGTAGTCAAATCTGAAATAAACCAACACTGGTGCACCCTGGCCAACGTATAGTCATACGGCAAAAAGTCTATTAACTGGCATTTGACTTCTCACTTCAAACTACCATCACCTCACTCTATGCCATATTCGACTATTTCCACAGTACGCACCTCACCTTTATTCTACCTTTGAGTTTGTCTCTTACATGAAGCACTCTTCTGTTCCCCTCCCCCTCTCGACTTTTTTCAATTTGATAAAGGACCATTTGATATAAATAAATTTATTCGTTTAGGTGGAGGAGTCCAGTGGTTCTGTATCCTTAATATCTAGTACGTAATTTTCCGTCTATTATTATTAATTTGAAACTAATCAACTTGAAATGGAAGGAAACCTCATCTCAAATACTAAATCCTGCTGATAATATCATTCTTTCAATTCCCCCGTTAAATCATTTTTAATATTTAAAGCTTAAACATTCGTTGGGGAAAAAATAATTTCTGAAAAATTTGCTCTGAACACTCGCACTTTAGGTAAGATAATTTACAAACCAACCAGACTATCCATTAAAATTGCTTCCGCACTTATCACGGTGCACTTTAGAGAAGGGAACTTCGGGTGAGTGGGTGCGGGGAGGAAGGGAGTGGGGTGAAGAAGAGTTCAGGAGAATGAGCAGGATAAAATGCACAGGAAAAATCGAAAGAGGAACTTTCCATAAAAGTCGATGCCTGCTGCCTTAAGCAAATGAATCAAACTAATTTAGCCTCAGAGGTAAAATTGGTATCCAGCAAAAAATTTCGTTATATTTATTGCGAGATCAATTGTAGGCAATAACAATTAGCTTCATAAGATGCTAAAAGAAACAATTTGCAGTAAAATGATTTGAACTAACGTTACAAAATCAATCGGAAAAATCATTCAAGATATTGGCAAATACGTATTGAAGTAATGCTACAACTGTCGAATTTTGGAGTAAAAAGTCTATGATTTGGAGGAAGATATTGTCTGATCTGATGATCAAATTAAATGGGGAAGATATTTTCTTGATTTATAAAAAGCCGATTTCACAAGCATTCATAATTATGCTCATTTCACAATGGATGCTTTTAAATCAGCCTAAAGTGTTATTATTATTATTTCAAATGGCAGGCATTATGGTATTTATCACTAGCCCTTAAACTTTGACTTCAGCTTCCCCCAAGGGTGGGTACATTTATTCCCCCAAGGGTGGGGGGTACATATATAGCAGTTAATTAATAGCAGTCAACTAATTGTCTTCTTGCTTCCCAGTATCTCTGGATTTCTGTCGTTGTCTTTAGGGTTTGATACTCAATCAGGTGTGTCTTCTCCATTTCCTCCTGTAGGTTACATTCAGGTGTCCATTTCCTCCTGTAGGTTACATAGGGGGCATGTGGGTTTCTTGTCTCTAGGGCTGGACACCGAATCAGGTGGGTCTTCTACCATTTCCTCCTGTAGGTTACATAGGGGGCATGTGGGTTTCTTGTCTCTAGGGCTGGACACCGAATCAGGTGGGTCTTCTCCGGCTAGACACCGAATCAGGTGGGTCTTCTCCATTTCCTCCTTAGGTTACATAGGGGGCATGTGGGTTGAGTGTATACTCCCACGTTACATGGAGGGCATGTGGGTTGAGTGTATAATCCCAATTTGTGAGGTGTTTTGCCAGCGTGTCCGGTACGTAGTCTAAACACAGCAACGGCTTCGATACTTAGCCATTCGGCTATGTCAGAGAGTGCAGTCTCACTGTTTCTTCTTTGTTCGAGTTTTAGATTTGTTGCACCTTGAGGTCTTGAATTCTCTTCTAATTAAGGCCTTCATTGCGTAGAAAGACATCGGCCGGTCTATGCCTATCAAAATTGTAGTCCCCTTTATAGTAAGGGCGTCAGCAAGCTCATTGCCTTTAATGCCACAGGGACCAGGAATTCAGTGTAGGACCACAGTTGCGTTTTTCTCAGCAGCTGATCGAGGTTTTTTACATTCGTATATCTCAGCTGTTCTGGGTGGCTCTCTGTTTCCAATTGAGTTTATTTCTGACTCTGAGTCCGAAAACATTACTGCTTTGATAAATTTCGTATCCAGGTAACATAATTGGCTTAGTGTTATCCTAATGGCCTCCATTTCTCTTTCGAATGCGAATTTATTGTGTTCCGCTGCTGCGTAGAATGAGAAGAGTTCAGGGTAGACACCTGCACCAACGTTTGCTTGGTTTCC